TGACAGTATATGTTTTAATGATTTTGAATGAGATTTTAGAGGAGATAAACTAAAATTTTTGAGTTCTTTATTGATCTCCTGTCTTATTTTTTTGCATGGTGATATTAGAAAATCCTCATCTTGTTCACTCTTACTTTGCTCCTCTTCTGTAAGTTCTTTTTTTCTGGCAATCTTTTGTTTACAAGGTTTGCAAAGTTTCTTCCCAGGAGGAATATTCAAACAATTTCTCATCATGACTTGTGACTCTTTTATTGTAACTACGCCAAGATTTTCTAAAAGTAATTAAATTGTATAAAGTATGTCTGCACATTAGTTCAAAACTTTCGTTTATTTTTTGAAAAACATAAATTAATGAAATATTTAAATTTTACAGCTACATACTTGTGATTTTCTTTGTATGTCTATTGAATGGATCACAACAAGCTTTCTGCCATATAGGATACATTTTCAAATATTTTGTATTATGTCTTTCACATAATATTTCTAAGTTTGATAATTCAATATTACAGCGTAAAGATATAATTATTTTTTCTTCATTGCTTAAAGTTTCAATAACATCTTGTTGGCCTTCGCAAGCATCTGATGTCATTAACCCAATAGAACACATCTTAATAAGATAAATTATTTAGTATGAAAGTATTTCCTAAAAATAAAAATAAAATTCTTCTACTTAATTGTATGTAAAAAAAGTTTTTTAATAAATATAATTTTTAATAAATGTTGTTCTTAATATTATTTTTATTAATATTAATAATAAATGTTGTAAAAAAAGAAGTTTTTAAATAATTATATTATTTAAATTATTAATTTTTTAAAATTTAAATATAATCTTACCAATAAATGTTGTTCTATATCTGAACTTTTATAAACTAAACTTTTATAAACTAATTTTTAATAAACTTTTACAAACTATAGTTGTCAAAATTAAAAAAAATATCATATTAACATAACAATTATTTTTTATAAAATGTTTTTATATAAAAACAAAACCGGATGTTTTTTCAGTTGTTAAGTTCATATAATTAAGTTATCATATAATTAAGACTTCCTTAAATATATAAAAAGTCTATTAACCAAAATTAATTCTTTACAGAATTCTATAATTTGCTACACATGTACTATCTTTAGGAAGATTTTTAGCAGCTTTTAAGTGATGCCATACCCTTTTAATTTTTTAATTAGTTTGCAATGAAGTGTATTGAATGCTTTTGCAGTAAGAAAAAAGCAATTCGAAGGATACAAAAAAAAAAAGAACTTTCCTACTTAGTTTTCAGTAAAAAAAAAAGCTCTAGTTTTAAATATATTAAATAATGATATAGTATTAGATATTTCCAAATCTTTGGCTGTAGGATAATTGGAGCTTGATAAGAGTTAACAATGATGTCTCAACTTATCATCTACAACTTATCACTACTAAGTAACTACTGTTCATACAAAGTAGTTTGATATGTTTTATTGGCTAAATGGTTTAAATGACAGAGATATGGCAATGCCAGGTGTTATTGAAACACTATTCTCCTCCCCTCTAACTGTAATAAAAAAAAGTTGTTTTCACCATATCTTTTGCAATATGCTTTTTTTTAAGTATTCTTGGTAAATTGAACTAAATTAGAACATCACTAAAAATATTTTGTTGTTCCCTCACCCCTCCCCCTCGTTAGAAAATTGCTATGGGCACCCATAAAAGTGGTGTATCTTGGAAACTATGGTTCTATATGTTTTAGTTGTTTTTCCAGTTAGGTTTTTTGTGCCTAGTAAGATAATAAGTAGCTAAAAATATTAAAAGCAAAAAAAAAAAAATCTAGACGGGGGTGTTTTGAGATATATGACCCCTAAGTTTGAATATATAAATTAGGTGTGTTTTTAATTTTAAAGCATGTTCTGCTCATATTTCAGCATTCTAAGTGCATTTTTTGAATTCTGCATTAGAAAAGCATTATAAATGCTAATTTTCATATTTTTATTTTCATTATTTTTCATTTTATTAGAGCAAACGTTTTTTTAAAATGACACAGAAACCAGGTCATTTTGGGAAACCAGGTCTATATTAAAACCTTGATATCTTGTGAACGGCTGAACATTTTTGGCTAAAATTTTGCATGTGAACTTTTCTATATGAAATGCAACAGCTAAAGAAGTTTAAAGAAAATATGAGACCTATGGTTCAAAATCTTGAAAAATTTGGGTGATTTGATGTGGAATTACCCTGGTTTCTATTCAATATTGTTATTATTATTATTAAAATACTACTAAAATTATATTTGTGCAATAAATACATCAGTTTATCACTCATTTATATTTCTTTTACATCAACGTGGAGAAATTAACATTTTTAGCCTTGATTTTTCTCATAAATAATGAAAAAACCCACACTCCCCTAAAACGGTTTCAGGAGCAATTTAAAGCTCTCGCAAAAGTATTTTTTTTTTCTCAAAATTTTAATTATCATTGTAACTAAAATCAAAAATGCTAAGTCAAAAAAATTTAACTCATTGGATAA